CTCAGTCACACTGGAACATGAAAGGGTCTTCTCCAAACTGCTGACACAAAGTTGGAAGCATATAATTGTGTAAAATGTCTTTGTGTGCTATAGCATTAACATCACCCTTCACTGGAACTAAGGCCCAAATCTTGAAAAAAGCTCCAGCCCATTATCCCTCCTCCACCACTTTACCGTTTATACTGTCCATTCCGTAGGTAGTGTTCTCCTGGCATCCACCAAACAAAGATTCATCCATCAGACTGCCAGATAGTGAAGCTCAATTCATCAAAGAGCATTTCCACTGCTCCAGAGGCCAGTGGCGGCATGCATTACACCACTTCAGCCAAAGCTTGGCATTGCACTTAGTGATCTTAGGCTTGTATGCAGCTACTGGAAACCCATTTCATAAAGGTCCAGATGCACAGTTCTTGTGCTAATGTTGCTTCCAGAGCCAGTTTGGAACTTTGTAGTGAGTGAAAGCAGATTTTGTTTTTTGTTAATAACTTTTTATTAATTTTGTTAGTAAACACACAAACAACATTTTCTGCAATCAATACCACAGAAGGGGGGGTCTTAAAAAAAAAAAGGAATTTGTGTATATGTACATACATACATATGTGCACATACATACACATCATATACATGCACACATTCAACATAAGCAAGATGTCTATGATTACAGAGTCTTAACATAACTAATGGCCTTAGTGCAAAAGCGAATCGTTGCTGCCTTGGCATTATAAAATCTGGCAGTTGCCCGTTCTAGAATAAGAATATCCAGAAAATATCCACACCATAACTGAGATAAAGAAAGGTTAGGTTCAAACCAGCCCTTCACCATCGATTTCCTGGCTGCAGTTAAGGCTGCCATCATGACTTTTCTTTATTGTACGGTAAGCATCAAATTAGAATCATCAAGAAGTAAAAGTAAGGCTAGAGACAAGGGAATGTTGACGGACAAATAACCAGACAAGATTCGTATGACTTACAGCCATAAAGCCTTCACAACTGAGCATGACCAAAACATATGAACATAATCTCCAACTAAACCCAGTTGACATCTGTTACAATTTTTGTCATTCGAAAGCTTCATCAAAAAAGCACAGCAAGGGGGTGATGTAAATCCTGTGAGCCAATTTAAAGTGAATTAACTGATGAGACAAATTCTTTGAAGACACAAAAATGTTACGCCACACCACATCCCAATTTGCAGAAATTTTGAATGTACACAGGTCTCTATTCCAGAGCTCTACTTCACCTAAAGGAGAATTTCTAAATCAAACAAACATATCATACAAATGTGAGACTAAGCCTCAGAAAGATTCATGATTATACAAATGATCAGGGCCTTCATGAAATGTGTTTCCATGGTCGAGCAGCTACACACAAGCCTAAGATCACTAAGCACAATGCCAAGCTTCAGCTGGAGTGGTGTAGAACGCACGTCCATTGGACTCTGGAGCTGTAGTAGCATTATATAGTAGTATATTATATATATTTTCCCTTTGCTTGTCATGGATCACATGACTAACATCAGCACACAGACACTACAAAAGCTATATAAAACAAATGCGGTTGCATTAGAAATATATACAATATGTTTGTATGTATTTATATAAGTATACAATTATTCTAATCTGTTTGTCCTGAACATTCAGATAAACAGTAAGAAGCTGTACATAAAGTTGAAGAAAGGTTAGATGTGTCCAGAATGATGAAGAGAGCAGTTAAAAAATGACAGAGAAAGCTGAAGAACAGCAACTATGAAGCTGTAATTAAATTAATATCCTGACTTCTTTATATATAAGTGGAGATCAAATCTCAAGGCTGATAAATTGACCAAAAAAAGAGCACAAGTGTAAATAAATAATTTCTGATATATCTGATATATAAATCTGATATGTGGTCATTTATCATGAAGGGTCAGGCATATATTTCAAAATATATGTACGTATATTTTGATTGCAAATATACAAGTAATAAATATTGGACATAAATGCATAATATATGGATCGCACATATATACTTTCTGTTTGATATATGTCTGAGATATATGTCTGATAGAAACACTGAAAGACTTTTTTAAAAGAAAAAAAAATGAAAATGAATACACCAGCCATATACATGCAATAAAAACCTTATATTACATTAAGCTAGCATATCTGAGTAATATACGCAATCCATATATGAATAATGCTTTCTGTCGTATGGTGTTTAATATATGTGCTACACATATATATGTTTATATATATGTGTAGCACATATATATAAACATATGTGTGTATGTGTATATATATGTGGATATATGACTGAAATTTCAAATAAGTTGGCATATATGTTGCATATATATATATATATATATATATATATATATATATATATATATACACACACATATATATATAGATATATATATATATACACACATATATATATATATATATACACATATACACACATATATATATATATATACACATATACACACATATATATATATATATACATACACACACAGGGCGGCACGGTGGCGCAGTGGGTAGCGCTGTCGCCTCACAGCAAGAATGGCCTGGGTTCGATGCCCGGCCAGGCGACCGGGGTCGTTTCTGTGTGGAATTTGCATGTTCTCCCTGTGTCTGCGTGGGTTTCCTCCGGGTACTCCGGTTTCCTCCCACAGTCCAAAGACATGCAGTCAGGCCAATTGGACGTGCTAAAATTGCCCCTATGTGTGACTGTGTATGTCTCTGTCTGCCCTGCGATGGACTGGCGACCTGTCCAGGGTGTATCCTGCCTTCCGCCCAATGACAGCTGGGATAGGCTCCAGCGCCCCACCGCGACCCAGAAGGATAAGCGGTTTAGATGATGTATGTATATATACACATATATATATTCATATGTGACAAATATAAGTTGGACATAAGTGAAATCATATTAATATATGTCATATATTTGAAATCCCTATTGCCATATATCATATTTCTGTATGGGATTAATCACTTCTAAGAATATCTTTTGCTGAATATTTCCATATTTATGATTCCAAACTTTTGAACTTAAGTGTATTTGCAATAACTGCATTGCCCTCTAGACCACTTTCAGCTCATTTATGATCAATATGTGACAACTGTATTAGTTTGTTGATAACACTTTACTATAGGGCTACATGACACCTACATAAGCTTGTCATGACAACTGATATCACCCTACATAAATGTTTATTATTACAAAATGATGTCACAGCTTTATTAAGTGTTGCCTGTTATAGTCTACATGGATGATCAGTTTGTGTATCAAATTGTGTAGTGTTCAGTGCTGTAGGACAAAGGCCCAGAGTCAGCGCTCAATTACTGAACATATACAAAATATCATGTCTGCACATACCCTTCAGACGCACCACAGGCAGGCTTACAAATTAACCCATTTCTAAATATTTGAAATTTGCTGACTGGCTGTACAGTCATTAAAGGGCTCATATCCTACATTTTCAGTATTTTTTTCCTCCCTGAGGTCCACTTATGACACTTATGCACTCTTCAGAACCAAAAACAGCCATGAACTGGATAAAACATATCAACTTTATAACAGTTGTTTACCATAGAGATAAATGGCTTAGACCCAGAGTTCCTAAAATGGTCTTGATACTGACTGTAGAATGATACAGAAGGCCTATAGGCCCTGCTCACATTTGCACATTGCAAATTCCATTAGTTTCAGAGAGCAGAGAAGTATGTGTCCAATACTAATGCTAATCAATAGCATTTATGGCATTTTGGTGCGTCCTTCAGTACTAAAACAAAAAAACAAAAAACACTATACATAGTGCCAACAGTAAAGTTTGGTGGAGGAGGTTATAATGGGCTAGGGCTGTTTTTCAGGGTTTGGGCCTCTTAGTTTCGGTAAAGCGTGATGTTAATGCTACAGCACACAAAGACATTTTACACAATTATGTGCTTCCAACTTTGTGTCAGCAGTTTCAGGAAGACCTTTTCCTGTTCTAGTATGACTGAGCCCCTGTGCACAAAGTGAGCTCCATACAGACATAGTTTGATGAGTTTGGTGTGGAGGAACTCCAGTGGCCTGCCTAGAATCCTGACCTCAACCCCACTGAACACCTTTGAAATGAACTGGAATGGCAGGCCTTCTTATCTTACATTAGTTAATGCCCATGGTTTTGGAATGGGATGTCAAACAAGAACATTTCACATCAAACCACTTTGAATTACTTAACATATTAAACGTTAAATTATGCAGAAATTTTGAAAGTAGATGGAGGTCACTTCAAATCTAGCTAACAATTTGAATATCTTTTATAATGAGATTGCTGTAGGAATATTATAGGACTAGCTGTTTCTCAGCATTATTAATTGTTTTAAGTCATTTTATCAATAAAATAAGACGTGTAATAAGTAAAATCATTATCTAGTCTTATCTAATCTTATTTCTTAAAATAAGCCAGTTTATCACTCACTGTTTTGGTATTTTTAAACATTTTGCCTCTATGTGAAATAAAAACATGCTGTAGTTGTGCTCACACTTCATAGCCTTAGAGACACAGGCAGTTTTACCCCCTCTTTAATCAGTGTAATGGCTTATACCCTTATTTTCATATTTTTTCTGTTCTAATAGAGCATGAAATAGCTTTTTGAAGATTCACACATGAAAGAATACACTTACACAAAGATTTAAATGTTCTAAATGTCTCTGTGACAATAAAGTCACATGCAAAATATGGACTTTAACAACAAATATGGGCACACAGTAGAATTCTGCTTGTAAAAGCCTATAGCAGATCCTCCGAAATCTCCATCCTGACTGTAAAAATTTCATGAGAAGCCCTGTGGGATGATTTGGAACAGAAGTGTTTTGGCAGATTTCCCCTTCAGATAAGAAAAAGACTAAAGTACAGCGTGTCTGTCAACGGTGGCACGTCAGGAGATGACTGTGGGAGGAGGAGGGAGGGGGCAGCAGCCGATTGGCTGTAAATTGAATGAGGCCAGCATTTAAAATGCACTGCCATACACTCTTCTGATCTAAAGCGAAGGAAAACTGGTCTGTGTGGGTTGCATATGAATGCGTCAGCCATGAGTGGATGCCCTTACTTCCAGAGAAAACACCTGTTTGTATTTCTTTCCTGGCTTACTGGGGATATTAAATGCTATTATAGAAAACAACCGCATTAGATTTGTCTAAATACGCAAGATAAAGCCAAATTATCATATGCGTGTACTTGTTTGTGGTGCACACCAAACCAAAAATGTCTTTTGCATACTGTAAAATGCAATTGAAAATGCATAGTTGCTGATTGCTTAAATTCTTTTGGGTTTAAAAAGGCTGGCGAGCAAAAAGCAAGTGAAGGAGGATGATGTAGACGCTGCTCAAAGTGGGGTCAACAAGGCCAGCAAAGGTGGCATCATCTATGGAGACTACTTGCAGGTAAAGCACACTGAGAACACTCATGTTTATACATTTTAAAAAAAGTCAGTAGACTCACTGTAAAGCAGTTCTGTAATTGAATTAGCTGGTTATGAGTATGTTGTACATTGAAGAACCTCCTTTTTAAGTACTTACAATAGCATTTACAGCATAATAATACTTAACAAAAGTTTTAATTATACTTAAAATTTCAACATTTTAAATATTAATTTATATTTCATATTTTGAAATTCCACCTATTTTCCCAAATTTCTGAATAATTAAAAAGGAATTCCTCAAATTTTTCAAAATTGCTGCATAATTCAGTCACTGAGTAAACAGAGCCTTTCAGAGTGATTGTAGAAACTCAGATTTCTTTACAGTGGTGGTGATGGGAACCAGGGGTCACCATGACTACAACACAAATATAGACATTTTATTGACTATCCAAAACCACCAGTGAACCTACACGTGTCTTCTGAGTTTTATATAGAATGTTAATGATGGTAAAATAGTGAATAGTTACTGAATATTTTAAGTAATTTATTTTGTCATTATAGGACCAAAATCTTCTTAAAACTATCATAAAATCATGTCTCAGATGTCAGGCCGTGTGTTCATAACCATTTCATGCAATGATTTTCTGTGAAGGAACTTTTAGAGGTGGACGTCTGGTTCCTATCACCACCTTAATGTTCTAACCACTTAATTACACAGAAATTTTAATTCCCCTTAGGATGTAAACAAGGTAATTCAGAGTGGTTTGGTGTGAAATGCTCTGTTCTAGAGAGACTTACAGAGTCAGAATTGTTCACAGTGGTGGTGATAGGAACCAGACGTCCACCTCTAGATGTTCTGGGAGCTCCCTTACAGAAATGTATTACATGAAATGGTTATGAATACACTGCCTGATACCTGAGATATTGTTTTATGATAGTTAAAATCTATTCATGGTAGAGGGACACAAGCAGGGTGTTCTAAGTCAAAATACAAAAAAAAACAAACAAAAAAAAACTTATAATTATCAGATTTTCCACTATTTTACCATCATTAACATTCCACATAAAACTCAGAAGACACATGTAGGTTCACTGGTAGTTTTGGATAGTAAATATAGAAAATAAAATGGCTTTATTTGTGTAGACATAGAGACCACTGGTTCCTATCACTACACTGCAATCTGATATTTCAAATCAAAGCACTTTTAAAATTGTACATTTTTTACTAACTTCACATTAAAACCTTACACTGTTTTCATAACTTTTGCCCAGCAATGTGGATCTGTGAGCTTTCCGTATTTACAGCTTCCTGAGTGAGAAATTAAACTGCAAACTCTTTTTTGGAATGTTTAAAATATAAAAAGCAGCAAGTATGTCACCCAGTCTGACAAGTGCATTTGAAACATTTTTAACATTTTCACTTAAAATGTCAAAGTTTCAAATCCAACTCACTTTTGACAGCTGCTTTTACACAAACATACATCTTATAATGAAATATTAATTGAACATAGACAAGTTTAGGCACTTTAAAGTGCAGTTAATCACTAAAAACACACTTTCAAGCCATGTGGAGTGAAAGCAGCAGTGTACATCATGATCTGTTTCTCAGTCGCAATAGTTTCTTAAAGATTTCTTAAAGATGCATCAGATGCTGTGGAAAAGCAACAGTTGAAACATTGAAGCACTGACAGAATGAGACTGAACTCTTTGAAGGGCAGAAAGATGTTGGCCATTATTTGATTTATTCTATATTTGTTAGTGTTACATCTCAGGGGGTGGATGAAGACACTTAGAATGTGAATCGGTTCATTAACTGAATTAACTGAATATGCCTCTTATGAAAAATAAGTCAGGAAAAATAACAGAAAAGCATAAACAAGCAAATCTGACTGGATTCGATTTCATTCTAAAAAATATTTAACATTTTAACTTAAATGTTTTGCATAATACACAAGTAAAAGAGCTCTGGAAAATGCTCAATTCAGTGCAGTTGACAGTTGATAAGCCTTCATAAGAGCATTACTAGGACATTATAACAACTATCCTTACAGGAATTACATGGTTGAATATCCTGAAGGATATGGTTTAATTAAAGCATGATTATTCTCCAGATTAGAATCAATCAGACCCTTGGCTTATCTGATCATTTGTACACTCTGTATATTTATTATATTTATGTTTTTATTGTATTATATACATTTTAAATCTAGATGTTAAGGCTTCTTAAACTTATTTTTTTTCTTAAAACATTTTCTGTTTACAGTGTACAGTGAAGGGAATAATGAAATGATGTGCATTAACCATAATGAAAGCTTTACCAGTAACCTTTCCTTACAGTGTGTTTGTGTTTGTTTTTGTGTTTATGTGTTTGTGTTTGTTTCTTTCAGCTGGATAAGATTGTCTCCTCTCAGCTGCTTCAGAGTGAACTGAAGGGAAACAAGATTCATGATGAACACCTGTTTATCGTCACACATCAAGGTGAGCGTATGTTGAACATATGATACGATGATATGTAATCATTATCACAATAAATTATAATTTACTATTCCAAATATTTAGTTAATTATCATCATTCAGCATTTTCTAAATGTAGCGCTTCTGTTTTTATGTATTTTGTCTGCTCCAACTTACAGATTGACAGATACTCAGACAGACAGACAAACAGACAGATAGCTAGATAGATAGATAGATAGATAGATAGATAGATAGATAGATAGATAGATAGATAGATAGATACATACATACATACATGCATACATTGATAGACAGAGATAAATTTATATTGTGTTCTTTAAATAAACAACATTTCTTTACAGGCACCCGAGATGACATTTTTATTCATTCATATGAATTTGGACTGTGGTATAGTGTATATTCCTCTCTCTTGTTGCAGCGTATGAGCTGTGGTTTAAACAGATACTGTGGGAGCTGGACTCAGTCAGAGAGATCTTCATAAGTGGACATGTGAGTAGCAGCTGCTTTATACTGCTGAACAACTACAGTCTGCTTTAGAGTCCAGCTGTATAAGTGTGCCACCTTCAGGATGATCGCATTTCAATACCGACACCTGACATAAAAGTTAATATCTACAATAATTAAACAGAAATTAAACATTTAAATAACTTTTTTTAAAAAGTTAAAATGAAAATATTAGTCATATAAAAGATGCTAAATAATAGATACTAAATAATTCATAGTAAATGCTGAATAATTCATAGTGGATACTGAATAATTCATAGTAGTTACTGAATAGTTCATAGTAGTTACTGAATAGTTCATAGTAGTTACTGAATAGTTAATAAATAGTAGTTAATGAATTTTTCATAGTAGATACTGAATTTTTCATAGTAGATACTGAATAATTCATAGTAGTTACTGAATACTTAATAGTAGTTACTAAATAGTTCATAGTAGATACCAAATAATTTATAATAAAGAGTGAATAGTTCATAGTTAACGCTGAATAATTCATTGTAGAGACTGAATAATTCATAGTAGATACTAAATAATTAATTATAAAGACTGAATAATTCATAGTTAATGCTGAATAATTCATAGCAGATACTAAATAATTCAGAGTAGCTACTGAATAGTTCATATATCAGTCAGGCTCTAAAATGATTAACACAGAGTGTATCCTGATCTGCTCTCAGGTCCGTGATGAGCGTAACATGCTGAAAGTGAACACTCGTATCCACAGGATCGTGATGATCTTTAGGCTGCTGGTGGATCAGTTCGCTGTTCTGGAGACCATGACTGCTTTAGACTTCTTTGACTTCAGGTTTGTTTACATTAAAATGTCCTTGCAGCTTTACATTACAGTGTTTGACATGGAGTGATAGAGCAGCTTCTCCCTGACAGATTGTGTCAGTAAGAACACTGATAATATATAAACATGTCATTTAGGCACAGATAACAGCAAGCAAATGAGTGAAGCATCTGATAAATGAAAATTAATAAAGACAGCGAGAGATTGATGATCTTATTAAATATGTATAGCAGCTGCAGTTTGATTCTAAATCTGTAGGATTAATTCATATTTGAAAATATGAACATTTGAGCACATACTTTAGCACTTATATAAGAAACATATGTTAGTTATTTATCATACCCATATAATATACAATTGGAAGTATTATTAAACTAAAAAAAGTCATCACATGATGAATAATATACTATTATGTATCTACTACTATCTACTACTTGTTTTAGAATTTGCAAATTTTAAAAATATATCTAAACATCTAATAGATCTAATCACATTTAAAAACATCATTCTGGATAATATTTTTTTCTCATTTAATTCCAGATTTTAATTGTATTATAACTTCAGTCTTGATACACATTTTATTAGAATTTCATTCTAAATATAAATATTATGAAAACTTAATTCTAAAAATAGTTTGTCAGAATTTTATTCCGTTTTAATTTTATTCTGGATGTATTTTTATAAGAGCTTCATATTAATTTTATTATAACTTTATTCTAATTATTAATTTCCTTATATCCTTTCAATACAAATTTCATTAGAGCTTATTTCTGGATATTAACTTAATTAGAACTTCATTCTGGATATTAATTTGATTAGAGCTTCATTCTTGATATTCTACAGCACTGTTCATCATTCTGGACATCTAAAATTTTGACATTTTTTACATCTATATAGTTTTTATAATGAAAATCAATTGTGATTGATGTTTGAATGAACACTAAACTCATTTAAACGTTAGCATATATGTCTATACATATATATGTATGTATGTATATTTGTATATATGTATGTGTAAATGTGTGTATGAACGTGTAGGGAGTATCTGGCTCCTGCCTCGGGTTTTCAGAGTCTGCAGTTCCGGCTGTTGGAGAATAAAATCGGTGTTCCAGATAATCAGAGAGTTCCGTATAACAGACGCCACTACAGGGACAACTTCCGTGGGCAGGAAATTGAGCTGCTGCTGCAGTCAGAGAAGGAGCCCACACTGCTGCAGCTTGTGGAGGTACAGTAGCACACATACAAATAGTACTCAGTCTTATAGTCAACATGTGATCATTTTAGTGATATCAATGGGAAAATAATAACTGATCATCACATTGATTTATCAGTCTACTCAGGCTTTAGCAGAGCTCAGTAACACTGAGAATAATAACTGATCATCACATTGATTTATCAGTCTACTCAGGCTTTAGCAGAGCTCAGTAACCCTGAGAATAATAACTGATCATCACATTGATTTTTCAGTCTACTTAGGCTTTAGCAGAGCTCAGTAACCCTGAGATTAATGACTGATCATCACATTGATTTATCAGTCTACTCAGGCTTTAGCAGAGCTTAGTAACACTGAGATTAATAACTGATCACATTGATTTATCTGTCGACTCAGGCTTTAGCAGAGCTCAGTAACACTGAGATTAATAACTGATCATCACATTGATTTATCAGTCTACTCAGGCTTTAGCAGAGCTCAGTAACCCTGAGATTAATAACTGATCATCACATTGATTTATCAGTCTACTCAGGCTTTAGCAGAGCTCAGTAACCCTGAGATTAATAACTGATCATCACATTGATTTATCAGTCTACTCAGGCTTTAGCAAAGCTCAGTAACACTGAGATTAATAACTGATCATCACATTGATTTATCAGTCTACTCAGGCTTTAGCAGAGCTCAGTAACCCTAAGATTAATAACTGATCACATTGATTTATCTGTCGACTCAGGCTTTAGCAGAGCTCAGTAAAACTGAGATTAATAACTGATCACATAGATTTATCAGTCTACCCAGGCTTTAGCAATGCTCAGTAACAGTGAGATTAAAAATTGATCACACTGATTTATCAGTCTACCCAGTCTTTAAACATTCTTTCTTCCATCAGGTGAAATAAAACCGGCAGTGGCTGTATATCAGTTAGAATTATTAGAGTGGAAATTGGTGAAAGGTATTATTATGTTACACCGACTTATGTAAGACTTACGTAAAACGTATGTAAGGATAAATAATAATTCACTCGTACACATGATATTCTTTGCATTGTTTCAGTAAAGTTTGGTGGAAGGCAACCTCAACATCTAACAGCTCTGACTAGCTCCAATTTTAGCCTTAGCATTTGCTTCGGAGCAGCTTTGTCACTAAAACCTTCTATTTTATTAGACACAAAAACCTGCCACTTTACCATCCAGTGGTTAAACTATTACCTTTGATTGATGCAAACATGTTTTTGTTTGCTTTAAATTGGTCAACATTCATATTTTATCAATCCTGAAACATGTATGTCTACAGAGAACATCTTGTAAAGCCAGTTTATTTTGCTATGGAGAACGTTTCAGATGTTCTCCTCTGTAAGCTCCTAAATGTTCCTTTATCTGTTAGCACAACTGGCCCTCACTTTCTCTGTGTGGGTGCTGTGGTCCTCCCTCCACCCCATGACTGTGTGCAATGCTAGCTAACGCATGTGTCTGTTTGCTAACATACGAGAATTAGCAGGTAGCGTTCTCCTCCAAGTGCGCAGTGCTGTCCAATAGCTTAGCGCCAGTTTGAAAAGATGGTTCACATGACTCATAAGAAGCTTATTGTCACTGTGCAAACAAAAACAAGTATCTCTAAATTAAGTAAGTTTACAAGAGAGGGCAAAATTATGTAATGTAAAAATATTTTATTCCATGCAATTCTGGAGCATTTCTATTGGTCCATTCATTAAGAAATATTTACACAACATGAAGGACAGCTGCTGCGTTCAAATTATGTAGAAAAACAAAACAAAAAAAAAAAATAGAAATAAAGGTTTGTCTTTGGATAGCAATGATATGCTAGCCTTCACTTTCCTAGTGCTGGTAGCATCCCGTGAATAGAGGAAGGCCTAGCTAGTCAATGGAACTGGACACCATTAAATTGGGGGGAAAATTGGAGGAAAGGGAGGTGGGGCTTTCTCATAATTCTGCAAATTACCCACTATGCACTACCAACTGCTAAAGCACTCTGTCTACTGTGCTGCTATTCAACCAGTGGGCTAAATTTCCTGTTTTGTAGAAATGGCTGGAGAGGACGCCGGGCCTGGAGGAGGACAGCTTCAACTTCTGGGGGAAGCTTGAGTCGAACATTTTCGAAGGGCTCAAGAGAGAGAAGGACAAAATAGAGGTTTGGAATTAAAGTCTTTGACTGATTCACAACTGTACTCCAGATTTTAGACACTGAAAAGAAAATAACATCCTCCATGCTGCCTCCTGATAGCAAACGCCAGACTCTGAGATGAAAGAGGAGCTGATGGCAGATTTTATCAAGCAGAAGGAGCTTTTCATGTGCCTCTTTGATGAGAAAAGGCACGATCATCTACTGAGCAAAGGTATACACGCCCCTCACCTCTTATGCAATGTTAAATAGCTCTTGGTTGACACTTAAAACCACTTAGCTGTCATTTAGAGCTCAAATGACTGCCTCTTCTGTTACTGCTGACTAGAAATGTCTGTGTTTTTGTGTGTAGGCGAGAGAAGGCTGTCCTATAAAGCGCTGCAGGGGGCCTTAATGATCTACTTCTACAGGTAAATGAACCTTACAAAGGATATTAAAGTGATAGTTCAGCAGAAATCTAATTTCAACAGTTTTACCTCCTTAGCTCAAATGTAGTTGATCAGCCAAGACATGTTTGGTGTCTGAAGTTTACTTCTTTAGTTTTAGCACTGGAGCTATAAGACTAACATAGCTAACAAGTGATGAAAGTTTATACATCATCAATTAGCATGGTGCTAACTGTATGTCTAAGTCATCATACACAATTATTATTGTAAGCTTTCTATTATTGTGCTTTCTATCAGTACAGAACTGCACACAAAGCATGATTAGATTTAGTATAGCTAAGAATGTGATCAGTTTTTAGCTATGCTAACATAGTTCAGCCCATGTCTTTAGACAACAGTGTGTCATACTGTGTTAGAAACCGTATAAACCAGCATATTATAAATTACTGAACAACTCAATAACTGCATTCAGTTCAGTTAGCATCATGCTAGTTGGTGCAGTAGTCTAGTTCATATTAGCTGCATTAGACTCATAGCTCCAGTGCTAAAACTAAAAGCAAACTTAAGACACCAAACATGCCTTAGCTGAATGACTACATTTAGGGGAAAGTGGAAAACATAAATTATTTAATAATTAATGTTTTCTAAGCTTTATCAACTTTTTGGAGGCTTTTAAAAATTTGCTAGCACAAGTATCCCAAGGACTGATTTACAGCTTAGAGACTGGCATTACTTCATAGTAAGATCTTATTAGTTAAGACTGCTATTCAGTGGGTGAAAGCAGTAACTCACTCAGGGTGCTGGAAAAGAAGAGTATAATCTCGCACTTATTTTGTCTTTCTAACAATCTTTGCAAAAGCCTTTCTGAGGTGCTGCATCTCAGGAATGGCATAAGCTGTATTATTATCTAATGCTTTTATACTTCTGTTTGTGTAAAGCACTTTGAACTGTTACTGAGTCTGAAAGATGCTATTCAAGTAAGCTTGCCTTCTTAAGTTGGATATTTGGTTAACTGTAATCTAGTGTATGGATTAGAGCACCTGTTAGAAAAACTGTTGTATAAAACCTGTTATAGAAAATTTAAGAAAGAAATTTTGAGAATTCTTTACAATTTTTTGAAGTTTAAAAACCTAGCGTTTTTCTTTAACCTGAAGTTAAAAAAAGATTAAAAAAAATACTTTCATAATTTCAAGTAGCACAACTATCTAAGTGCTGGCCCTATTGTCAGAAGGTTGTGAGTTCAGTCCCATGTGATAAAACAGCCAGCTTTTGGCTAAGAGTCCAAAATCACTTTCACACATGAACTTTTACCTGTAAATTTGGAGACACTTTATTTTGAGTGACCCTGTTTAGATGAAACAAACACTCAATGGACTCACAGTAACATGTCAAAAACATATGAGGGTTAGAATTAAGGCCAGGGTTAGGGTTAGGTTTTGGGTAAGGTTACATTTTGTGTAATGGAAGTAACATATTAACAATACAGCTACTTAATGTAAGTAATGTATCAACAGAACATCTACAAGATATTTACTTCAGTGTGTTTAGATGCCTCACTACTGCAACTTCACTGATATGTTGTTGATGTGTTACTGATAATCTCCCTCTTTCTCAGGGAAGAGCCACGATTCCAGGTTCCATTCCAGCTCCTGACGTCTCTGATGGACATTGACACGCTCATGACAAAATGGAGATGTGAGTGACCTCACTGGACAAAACACATTCTCAAAATCTCTAAATTTAGTTTGATAATTATAAGTAAACAATTCTGCACAATATGATTATTTATTTTTGCTTATTATTTGTGTACAACTATGTAAATGATCATTTAAAAGGAAGCATTTATTAATATGCAACTGTATAATAATTAACAAACTACTAAGTTGATATTCAGAAGGCCTGTTATGACAAAGTAATACCAAATTTTATAAATCGCTCAAACCATATGGCTAAAAAATGAGTTTTTTTTCTCTTAATTCATCAGTGTTTGAATCAAATTTGTAATAAAACAATAGTAACATCTAAATTTAATTATTGATTGTATTTTTTGATTATATATTTTGTTATTGTGTATAAAAGTAGGAAAATGACATCCAATCAGAAACATTCAAATGGGTGCTGTTTTATGTTCACCCAAACTGTGACTAAATTAAAATTTCATGGCTGTAGTCCAGTCAGAACACGCTCTGTGCCGTCTCTCCTCCTCATGCTGACTTAATCTGCTGGATGTGAACCGGTAAACTGTAATACCTGATTGGCTGTGTTTCCTCAGATAATCACGTGTGCATGGTGCACAGGATGATCGGCAGTAAAGCAGGAACAGGAGGCTCGTCAGGTTATCAGTACCTGCGCTCCACCGTCAGGTAACCAGCTCACCTGATCCCGGTGACATTTTATTTTGAGTGGTCTTTTTTAAATGAAACAAACACTCAACAGACTCTCAGTAACATGTCAAAAACATATGAGGGTTAGAATTAGGTTTTGGGTTGAGGTTAAGGTTAGGGTTAGGATTAGGGCCAGGGTTAGGGTTAGGTTTTGGGTAAGGTTGGGTAAGGTTAGATTTTGTGTAATGGAAGTAACATATTAACAATACATCTACTTAATGTAAGTAATGTATCAACAGAACATCTATAAGATATTTACTTCAGTGTATTCAGATGCTTCACTACTGCTAAAAAACACACAGACATTAAAAATATATTTTATTTTGTGGAATTAAAACTTCAGCATTTGAATACTTTAAAATACTTTTAGTTAGGATAGCAATACTTCACATTTTCAAATACTTCTGTTTACAGAATTAATACTTTATTACTTTGAGGCATTATACCGTACAATACTTTATAGTAAAAATGCTTTAATTTTAAATTTTCATTTCATTTACAGTATCAGTACTAGTAGTTTTACACTTTATATTTATATTTTCATTTATGAAATATATTTATGAATATTTTATTGTTATTATTATTGTTACTTTTTTTATCAATTTTATTTTATATTTTATAATTTATTATAATTTATTAATACTTTATAATTTATTATTATGTACAATATTTTATCATATTAATACTTTGTAAAATAGTTTAAAACCCTTTCATGCATTGTACTAATTCCTTTACTTTGAGGCATTATAGGTAAGGTATTAATAATTTAGTAATTTTAATACAAGCCCAATTCCAAAAAAGTTGGGATGCTGTGAAAAATGTAAATAAAAACAATATGCATTGATGTGCTAATCATTTAAACCCCATATTTAATTGAAAACAGTACAAAGACAACATATCAAATGTTGAAACTGAGAAATTTTATTGTTTTTTGAAAAGTACATACCCATTTTGAATTTGATGCCAACAACACGTTCCAAAAAAGTTGTGACGGGGGCAACAAAGACTGGTAAAGTTGTGTCATGCTAAAAAAAAAAAATACACCTGGTGGTTAATTGGCAACAGATCAGTAACATGATTGGGTATCAAATGAGCATCTCAGAGAGATAGTCTTTCAGAAGTAAAGATGAGGATGAGTTCACCACTCTGTAAAAGACTGGGAGGGCAAACAATTCAATAATAATGTTTCTCAATGTAAAATAGCAAATAACTTTTGCTTTTTTTATCATCTACAGTACATAATCTCATTAAAAGATTCAGAGAATCTGGAGAAATCTCTGTATGTAAGGGACAAGACCAAAAACCAGCATTTGCTGGCCATGATCTTTGGGCCCTCAGGCGGCACTGCATTAAAAACAGACATGATTCTGTAGTGGAAATCACTTCTGAAAACCACTGTCTGTGAACACAGTTCACAGAAAAATCAACATTTGAAGTTCTTTTTGGAAATCATGGACACTGTGTCCTCCGGGCTGAAGACCTCTCAGCTTGTTATCAGTGCACAGTTCAAAAGCCAGTATTCATGATGGTATAGAGGTGCATTAGTGCACATGGCATGGGTGACATGCACATCTGTGAACCATTAATGCTGAATGATATATACATGTTTTGGCAACATGTGCTGCCATAAAGACAACGTGTTTCAGGGAAGGCCTTTATTATTTCAGCAAGACAATGTAAAAACACATTCTACATGTATTACAACAGCATTGCTCCATATTAAAAGAGTCTGGGCGCTAAACTGGCCTACTTGCAGTCCAGACCTGTCACCCCCTGACAACACTTGGTGCATTATGAAATTAAAAATATGACAAAGGAGACCCCGAACTGTTGAGCAGCTGAAATCATATATCAAACAAGAATGAGGAAACATTTACTTTCAAAACTGCAGCAGTGTCTCCTCAGTTCCCAAACGCTTACGGAATGTTGTTAAAAGAAGAGTTGATGAAACACAGTGGTAACATGCCCCCATCCCAACTTTTTTGGAACATGTGTATCAAATTCAAAATGGGCATATATTTTTCAAAAACAATGCAATTTCTCAATTTCAGCGTTTGATATGTTGTCTTTGTAGTATTTTCTTTTGAAAATATGGTTTACATGATTTGCATATCATTGCATTCTATTTTACACAGAAGGATAAGCGGCTTAGAAAGTTTGTGTGTGTGTGTGTGTGTGTGTGTGCACTCTACTTTTATTTACATTCTGCACAGCGTCCCAACTTTTTTGGAAATGGGGCTGTACTTTGTATTAATACATCAGTATTTTAATTCTTCACACTTTCTTTTTAGATATTGCTACATTAGTATGTTGAACGTTATACTTTAAGATACTTTCATTTGTTTAAAAATACTTTTGTAGTCTAACACTTTATATTTTAACATATTTACTTCTATGGTATGAATATGTCACTACTTTACTACTTTTTTAATGATTTTTATGAAAGATTTTAATGAAGATAATTAGACAATTAGTTAATTAGACAGTTCTCCAAATTCTCCACAGCCAAGATCAGATCGCAGATACAGTACTGATGAATATTCACATGTATGTTAATGACCATTTGGTTTGTTTTGTGTTTGCTTTTCGCAGCGACCGTTATAAAGTGTTTGTGGATCTGTTTAATCTGGCTACATTCCTGGTGCCGAGAGACTGGGTACCAAAACTAAACCCCAACGAACACACCTTCCTCTACACGGCTGAGTGCTGTGACAGCTCCTACTGCAGCAGCGAGGACTCTGACTAAAGAGAGAGAGAGGGGGAGAGAGAGGGGGGGAGTGAGAGAGGGGGAGAGAGAGAGGGGGAGAGAAAAAGAGAGAGAGAGAGAGAGAGAGAGTCTGTGGTAGAGGGAGTTCACTAATGGAGCTAAAAGAACGCAGTGAGGTATAAAGAACACAATCCTGCTCTTATTCATAACTTATATAAGATCATAAATGGAACAGATATTCAGATGGAGTTTAACGGAGCGCTGTAATAATTCCACACAGACTGTTAACTGTATAAAACTACACAGCTGAAATGAATATGCTGGCTTCATCGCACTGTAAATACTGTCATTGTAAAACATTAACATGACTCCGGAGTTAAAACTCATCTGAACGAAACAATCTCCTTTCTGTACATATCAAAACAAAACACGCCTCTTTATTTTCAGCAGAATGATGATTTACTAGACAAACACAAACTCAGGAGAACAGCCTGTAAATCCGTTTCTACAGGGATGCTCGTATGTGTACATATGAAATTGTTAAAAATGATAATAAAACAAGTGATTGTATAAAAACACAAGGAAATTATTCCCTTTTTCTATAAATTGTAATAAAAAGGTTCTTATGTAAACTTTAAGCAGTTCATTATTTCCTTTTGGACATCTAAAATATGTCTTGTTTCCTGATGATCGGCTCTGAAGTGGACGACTCGATGGACACGGGTCACAGAAATACACCAGCTACGGTATCAGCTATTCCTACAGAGAGAGTGACAGAGAGAGAGAGAGAGAAAGAGAGTTAGAAAGAGAGTACAGAGAGAGAGAGAGAGTACAGAGAAATTGTGCAGAGACAGAGAGTGCAGAGAGAGAAAGAGAGAGAGAGACAGAGAGGGCAGAGAGAGAGAGAGAAAGAGTGCAGAGAAAGTGAGCAGATCTCAGAGAGAGTGCAGAGACAGGGAGAGAAAGAGCAGTGAGAGAGTGCAGAGATAGACAGAGGAGAGATAGAGAGTGCAGAAAGAGAGAGCAGAGAGAAAGTGCAGAGAGATAGAGAGTAGAAAAGAGAGACCGAATGCAGAGAGAGGGAGTGCAGAGAGAGTAGAGAGAGTGAGAGTACAGAGAGAAAGAGTGAGAGTACAGAGAGAGAGTGTAGAGAGACAGAGAGAGAGATAGAGAGACACATGAGAGAATGAGAGAGTGAGAGGAATAGAAAGAACAGAAATAGAAAGGGAGAAAGAGTGAGAAAGAGGAGAGAGAGGAAAAAAGAAGAGAATGAATAGGAAGGAAAGAGAGAAAGAATCAGAGAGGGGAGAGAATGACAGAGAAGACAGAAAGATAAAGAGAGATGCGGAGAGAAAAGGGGAGAGAGTGTTAATATGAGAGAACAGCACTTCATGACTTGTTTCAACGAGTTGTGTATTTTTGTTCTAGCTGTCATCTCCAGCTGTTCAGCTTCATTTCTGTAATTCATTCACACGTTCACTCCATTCCACTGCAGCTCATCAGCTCAGCTCTCTGCTCTCATAATGAACATAAAACTGACCAATGCTGCACAGCGGCGGCTGCACCAACGTGATCAGCACCATATTTCACACTTCAGCACCTTAAAATACTGCATTTTATGGTATTAACACTTCACTGCATGCTGAGAACACAGATTATTTTAGGAACGTAATCACAATGAGATTAAAGCAATAACACTTAAGGACTTTAATACTTTGGAGAAAAACATTATCAGTGAAACACTACAGTTGAAATGCAGCAACCTGGCACTAAAGAAAATGGTTCTACATAGAACCATGAACACTCCAAGCATCCTTGATTAAACCGTTCTTTGCATGGTGAAATGGTTCTTCACATTGATTGAGAATGTGCTGTATATGGTTACTTATTTAGACGGATAGTCCTAAAATCTGATTGGCTGAGCTGCATTCGAAGCCATCGTAAAATCTACGATATCCGCACACCTATGACCACCTCACAACAACTGAATCATATATTACTGCGCCACGGCACGAAAAACCCTTGTACTATTAATGAATAACCTTTGACTCTCATGCTGGATGATGGACCACTAAGTGTACTGATGAAGTAAGAACCCGTTTTTTGTTTAAACTGAGGGGCTGACAACTTATGTTCTGGAGTAGAACTAGGCTGGTCAGCTAGCTTACAGGCTAAAGACAGCAAACAGTCTAAACAACTCCATCATGAACATCACAGGCTTGAATTAAAGTACTTACGGTATGATTAACTGTAAATTGACAGTATAAACATCTAAAAAACACCACTTAAATGGTTTACATGCTTCAAATGTTCGTGTTTCAGTCAGAAGTCACATCAAAGCCAGGCTGAATCCCAAATGGCTCTGTATTTCCTACATAGTGTGCTAGCTATGAATGTTTAGAAATTCTAGCTTCTACAGCCAAATGCATCAGTTGTTGAGTGTGGATGTGGCTGAATCCCAAATGACTGTTACTTAGCTGTATTTTGCCCTGTTGGGTGCAGGATCCAGTACATAAATCCCTACCTAGTGCACTATGTAGGGAGCAGGGAGCCATTTGAGATTCAGCCCCAGCCTCAGAAGAGGGGCGCTGCTGGATTGGTGCTAAATAAGACTTGCGGTGGTATTTTGATGACCAAAAAGAACTCATAAAGCGAATGTTTTTGCATTAAACAGTGCTGTGTTACCATATGTTCAATGTAATATGACAAAAAGTTAATAATTCATGAAATTTGAGACTACACGTTTGGCGAATGGTTTTCGGTTAATTTCTGGCTAATTCTAGGTTGGTTAGGTGTTCTTCTGTCACAGCTGCCGACTGAAAAGCTTGCTCAGTGGTAATGACAGTTTGGGAATTTAGTGTAAGGAGCCGGAGAACAAACTGCTGGCCGTGCAGCGAGTGAGCGGAGTTCATTGCTCTGACGTAGCAACAAGCTGCTTGTTAAGGAACTATAATTTGGCGGAAGGAATTGCTAACATTAAAACGTATTAAACGCCGCGTTCACGGCCCAATTTATTTATTTCTTACTTTATTTATTTAACTGTTGTATAAAAGCAATAGAACACTTGAGGTTGTGTGTTATCACGTATAACACCACGGCTGTGATGATCTATGACCAAATCTCAGCTGTGATGTTATTTTGCGATAACACACTCCCTTTTGTGTTCTATTGCTTAATTATTTTCTGAAAATTTCTAAATTTTATCTTTTTTTTTGTTTGTCACCATTTTATAAAAGCAATACTTAAGACTGTGCGTTAATGTGATTTTATCATAAAGAAGGGGGTTTTAAAACAGCTTTAATATAACATGAAAACAGTTCTTCTATAGTTACGATGTCAAGCTTGTATACAACAGAAGAACCCTTTTTAGTGCTATACAGAACCATCTACAGCACATTCTTATTCAATCTAAAGAACAATTTTACCATGCAAAGGACCATTTACTCATGCGAAGAGGTTCTTTGAATGATCATGGTTCTATATCAAACCAATTTTTTTACTAAAGAACCCTTGAAGAACCATCTTTTTTAAGTGTGTAGTTTGTACGTACCACACATGTTGTCCCCCATTTTGACGTAAACATAGCCCCCATTACCCCAGGATGTTCCCCAGGAGTTACGAACGATCCAGAACGGCACCTCGCCTGTGGGAAAATTTACACTCGTTATACATTAGACATTAATTAGACCATAATGCAATGCTGTGTTAATGAGAAGTCAACAGTAATTAAGAAGTAATGGCACATTTCTTATTGATGATTTAGTTTTATGTTGTAGAAATTGTTTGGAACTTGTGCTAAGACTGTGGCCTCCTTAGCCCACAATAATACAGACACATTTAAAAACAGTATTTTCATACCACGCACATTAGCGTTTTAACACCGTTCACTCTGAAGTGCCAACAGAAAAACAGCTAAAGGGAGGGTGAGTGCAGATCTATGCCATCTGATGGTAATATTTTAAATCACCATATATTTTTCTACAGGGAATTTTTTGATAATGGATTGAAAATCAAAACCTAAATTTATAAGCGCCTCAGAAAAAAAAGGGAAAAAAAAACAGCTCTATATTTACATTCACTGTATACACACTCATATTTACTGTTTTACTATATTTGGGATGCATGATATCAGAACCATATAGTTTTTTTTTGGCGAATAACTGCTTAGACACTTCAACTCCTTGAGACCGGTGGTTCCAAAATGCACTTCGTCATATTCTTCATAACTTTCATATTTCATAAGCTACATTCAAAAGGTGGGTGTCGTATGAGAGCTGTAACTGTCTTCTTTCCAATCAAATAGATGGGTAATATAATTTTAAACCCTTACAATAAAAGAAGCTGAACTCACAATTTTTTTTTTTGGCCACTGAAAGTCGACACATTTTTCCACAAATCTGGGCTATAAACTATAAACAGATGGCGTCTCTTCAGTGATCTGCTCTGTAAAAATTATTTTTTATAAAAAATATAAAGAGCGCCTAAGATTTTTGGCTTTCAGCAGTAAACTGTAAGCATATAGCAATATGTGTATGATCATAAAACACATGTTCTGTTAATTTGAGGTGAGCTTTTACCAAAAAATAAATAAATAAATAAAATAAAAACTCCATTTATTTCATGCATAATTTGCCTTACTGGTCATGTAAATTCAGATGGAAAAAAACAAAATATACCCTGGAGAAATAAACAGATGTTATATTTGTTCCATATTTCAAACTGAGATGTGATGAAGTATTTAGAGTAGGATGTTTAGGTGATGCTGCATTACAGCACTAAAATATCTGCATTTTATTCATTTTACTGCATTTGTAGCCCAGGTGGATGTGTACATAACAATGAACGGATATCAGCATCAGCCCACAGTATGTATATATAAAAACAGCCCCATACATTACTGTATTAAAAATGTAAGTTCATTGAGGTGTATTTATTTCCTTATGTGGACCAAATCCCCCCAGTCTGATGAAAATATGAGCACTGTGTAGCTGTGGGGACATCAGTCTGCGAGGGAAAAGTGCTTTTTTCCTCAAAAAACTGCAGCTTTTACTACAAAC